CGAAGCAGTCTCGGGTAGGTAAACCAAACGTAAGCAGAAGCAGAGTAAGAAAACAGTTTCGATTTACACCTTTGTGTTTTTTGCCCCGATGAGCAGATACGGGGCGGAGGCGCCGGCGATGCTGATCCAGGCGGCGATATATCTGGGAATCATGGTGGTCACGCGGCTAGCACGGCCGGGCTTGTCGAGGCTCTGCTACAGCCGGCGGTCGGAGAAGAGCGTCCCCTTCCTGTACACCATGGTGAAGGTGGCAGCTCTGTGGTCCATATTTGTGGCACACGTCGTGCCCTTCTTCCTCGTCCCGCGAACGGTGCATCCGCTTCTGGGCTGGCCGCTCTACCTGCTCGGAGCAACTGCGCTGTGCTCAATCGTGACCGGCGTCTTCCTACTCCCAGCTCTTCCGGTACTCGCGCTGTTGTTGGCGATATCGGGTTCCCTGTTTGTGATGGCGTTCCCTTGGTACTCGGATGGCATCACCAGGGTTCTGTTTTTGCTTGGGTACGCCTTCTGCTGTGCTCCGGTGGTGTGGGCATCGCTGGCGAGAGTGGTGAGCGCCTTGCACAGCTTACTCGAACGGGAGGCCTTCTTTCCTAGACTGGGAGAATCGACGCCTCTGTCCGAGTCCAGCAAAGCGTATTAACCCAAAGTGAGACACTCGAGCATGTAGAGAGAGTCCACTGTTCTTTCTTTCTTTTTGGTTTTAGTTACCTGCATCCAGTTTCCTTATCCCAGCGACTGTGCTTCCTGAGACAAATGTTCGCTCGACATACAAATGTCAAATTGGAATCATCTTACAGATTAGAGAGAGCTTCAGATCAATGGTATCATTAACCCTGCATATCAGTTGGAACGCGTCTGTGACATAAAATGCAACCATTTAGTTTATAAATACAACAGGAACCTGTCTGTGACATAGGATCTTATCATATTTGCTACACCAACAAAACCGTGTATACTTATTGCTTAATACAATTACCAGCAGTTTGTGCAACATGCACTGCACACAAATAGATCCCCGTCAAGTAAAAGATTCACTGCACAGAAAGAAAAAGGATATTGAAAGGTTAAACACCGTTTCACAAAAGCACATACAATATTAACATGATATAAAACTCATTAATGGGGGGGGGGGGGTGCACATATGAGCCTTACCTTCAGCTCTCCGCATATCCAGTCCACATTTAGATGGAAAAAGGAAAGGGTTGAATTTTCACTGTTCTGTGTCGTATGTTCAGAAATCCAGATCTCTGCAGGGACCCTTTCGAAGTTTTTCATGTAATTCCAACTGCTTAGGAAGAACAAGTTCAGTTCCTAGACCTGACATAGAGAAATATCTCTCCAGGACCATCTGAAACAGAGCAAACAATGGACAATTTGAACGAGGCAAAGCATTAAGATATCCTTCAGAAAGTATATATGACACACCATGGCAGAGTAGGCATCAATCTTCCCTTGGCGAGCAGACCTTTTTAGGCCCCTGAAAGAAAGTAAGCTTCCATCAGAAATCTGATCTGCACATCACTCAGAACAGTAAGTAATATAACCCAAGTTGGGTTCTCACACAGTGCAACATAAAGAAACCATGAGAAAAAAAAAAAAAAACATAGTAATGTCAATAGCAACATAATAATATGGTCTGATTGGGAAAGGACATTTGATGGCTCTCCAAGTTAGCTGTATTTACTTAAATTAGAATATCATATTTTGCAACTTTACTAATGATTAGGAAAAACAACCGAATGTAAGCTATATTTAGCAATACTTTAAATATCATAAACAATCTGAAACTAATAGAAGATATAGAAGTGGTTACATGATAAACATATGTCCACAACCACAGGCCAGTCTCCAACAGCAGGTGCTTAACTCGAACACTTTTAACCTTACCATTATCTATTAAATTATTGCTTTTTTTAATAAGAAAGACAATGCAGATTAGATCAGTAAATAAAGGTAAGGCAATCATTTTCTGAATATTAAATCACTGTAAAAGAACACAAAATCACCAAATGGTAGTACATATAACCAAAGAAGAGTCTAACATTAACACCCTAGAGTGCAGTGTCCTTATCAAAGATATACAGTAACGTGTGTGAAAGCCAAACGGCTTTCTCATAAACATAACCAAATGTAGCCATCTCCAAAATATAACATTTGCATTATGTAAGTACAAAATGTTAAAAAAAAGGAGGATAATCTCACATGTCTATCATATAATCAAGGGCGTCTAATGAAGTGCCATGTTCATCCTGCAAAAAAACTCTCCAACCTCTGCACACTTTAAAAATTGTATATGAGTGTAACTGTCTCAGGATAGATAAAACACAAACTGCACATGGACGATCTTAGCATCAAAAATTGTTTGCACCGACTATAAGATAAACTCTTTCAGGAACATACAAAAATATGTGCTCAATAGAAAATCCATAGCATCGAGCTAATCTAAAATGCGCAACAGGGTAACAAGAAGATACAATAGAGATCATCAGTCTTAGTTATGCAATTGCAACACTGAGACAATGTCATAAACAAGTTAACCTGAAATTGTTGACTGACATGGAAAGTTATGCCCCTTATCACATAACTAAGGATCTTAATTAGCAAACCAAGATACTTTAAAGCAATAGGCAAATTAATATCTAAAAAATGTGACCAGGTTCCTATTGCCATAGAATGACTAAAAAGAAAGTTTACATGGCTACCAGCTCTTCAAGAAACATATAAACCATCATAGGCTTTACATAAAAGGATTAAGATTTTTCTCTATGCATTCAAAGAGCCTGCAGAAGATAAACAGGATTAGTTCTTACATAGTGTAATAACCTTTTGCTCAACAATCTGAACATTATGTCCAGAAAAATCCACAGTCCAGCCACCCAAAGTTCCTACTTAAACTTACTCAAAAGAGTCTCAGTTTAACAAAACTTAACATCCCTATGTCAGATCCAAAGGTGTGTTAGATTCAATGACTCCATGCCAGAGTTTCTCTCTTCCAACTTGTATCATTGTTTTCATCTATCTTTAGGCTTTCCACATGATTGCATGTTTGTATCAACATCATAAGGTATATAATCCTTCAGGACAAATGAGTAGCATCTTTTTGTGTGCATGAGTATCCTTCCATGTCAAAAAATTTGGCAATAGTCTAACTAACATATCTATGTTTAACTAGGCTGCCTAGACACTCATTACAGACACTGATCATCAATTCATGGAATACAAAAAATAATTCTACGCAAAGAAACTATAACTTCTTACCTGGTTTAGAAAGAATTACCTGAACTCCTTCGTTCACTCATGCAAAGTACATATTTGTATTTCAGACACGAATCTTGGGACTTCAACACAAATCAAATTCTTCCTTCACTATAATTTATGATATAGTGAATTGATGAGATTGGTGTGAACCTTTAGAGATTGTGAGGCTGCTACTTACCAATTTTAATATCACTCACTAATATGTAGAATACTATATTTTACACCTTGTCTCCCTTGTGAGATCAATCACTATGATAGGGATGAAAACACAATTTCTTTGTCCTTATACATGAAATACTGAATAGCAAGAATCAGGCTATAATATGTTCTTTAGTATCTCAACAATGAACAAGAATCAGCAAAATTCCCTGTTTGTTCTTTGTTTGGCCATCCTCTTTGAGAACTAGGAGAAGCTATTTGTCTCCACCTCGATCACATTTTTATGCACCATGGGTCCCTATATAGATGGCAGACCTTTGTATGCATGGTAAAATGCGGATGTTAGATACTGCACTAACCACCAACCACCATGGATATGTAGCTAGATTAGGCAAATTGTTGCAATTAAGATTGACCACAAAGCTCTCTCTAATGAACTATCACTATAAAAGGCCAATTTAGGTTACAGAGTTTCAGTTTCAGGTGCAAAGTTGTCTGATGTCTTTTGTGTTCTTCTGCGAGTTCTGATTTCTGTGCACCCTTATCTATGTTTTGACCCCTAGGTTCGATTCGAGATGTTTCAGATGTATCCCCAGCATAAAAATTTGATCCAAGCCAGCAACTCCAATGAACAAGGTAGTACTCAAACAAATCATCATCAAGAGAACAATGAAACATGTATTTCTCCAACTATTTCAGTAATATAATTTGTTTTCACCCAACATTTCTACAATAATGACACGCACATGGAGATCTATTTCTCTCTGGCACAAGACGGATTAGTGGGACCAAAAAGTTGGGGCAAACGGTTCAGAAGAAATTGTACTCGCAAGCAATAGAGCAGAAGATCACTCACCTCTCCGCGGCCCGTACCGCGAGCCTTCCTGCGATGCTACGAACCTTGTTTGATTGTGCCGTCTCCTTTCCGTCATGAGATTTCGGAAGCCCAATAATGAACTCATCGACCTCCTATCCAGAACGAAAACTTTCAAATACATTCATCATCTCAATCAACACAAAACACCAATCTACAAATCTTCAAGAAAAAATCAAGACCTCCTTTTCGGCAATATCAAGCAGGCGCAACTCGAGCTTCTGACCCGTTAGCTCCAACACCTAATCCGACACCAAGTTAACCCTGAATCTAATTCGCAAGAACAAAAAGGAAATTAGGGTTTCCTGGATGGTCACGATGAGGGGCCGCGGAGAGTAGCCTTTGCCGAGAGCCAGGCCAGTCCGAGAGGCGCCCAGATCGACGCCGAGGCTGAATCCTCCGCCGCACCAGGTAGGGTCGATCTTCCGTCGGCGAGCATTGGGGAGGAACTCCTCACCGGTCGCGGAGGAAGAAGCCGAAGACCTGGCACTGACCCTAACGCGAACCCCGATCTTTCCACCAAAACGGAGAGAGCTGTAGGAAGATGATAAGGTTCCGATGGGAGGACGAGGCGGCGCTGCCACAGTTCCCATCGGCCGTTCGAATTTCTATTTCGGCGACAGCATAATGAAAAATTATATATATATTTTACAAATAAATAATATATAATTAATGTATTTCGAGAGAGCATAGTAAATAATATTCTAATTTGAAAATAGGAATCTAAATATAATTTTATATTTTATAATGAAATTTTATCTAAAATAAAATTTTAGAATTTCGGATAAAGAAGATAGAGAAGGCTAAGATTGTATTCGCAAGTGCCATATAAGATTTGGAATATTTAAATATTATCTTGATCACATGATATTTTACACGTTAATGATTTTCATATCATAATATTTTTATTTAAACAATTAAGGAGTCATAAATTTTCTATTGATGAGATATTTTGATATAATATATTTGTGAATCATGATTTTTAATATATTTTATTAAAAATAAAAAAAAATCAGATTATAAATATACAAGATTTATCAATAAATATTATTTGTGTGATCTTATGGCTATCAGTGTAAGTTATCTGATAATTTAATTGTTGCATACCATGATTTATTAAAGTTTTGAGTAATAATATGATAAAATGAAAAAATAAAAAAAAATCATATGGTACAGTAACCTGACAATATGGAATGTTGTGTACTGATTGGTTAATTATATATTATTCTTGATACTTAAGCCTATCTGTATTTGAAAAACTTATATCAGGATTTCTAAAATTTTTAGAGTGAAATAAATAATTTTATTTGTCTTGACATCATCAACTGACAAAAAATACAACACATAGATACTGTATACTAGTTTGATATAAAAGTAATATATAAAAAAATATTTTTAATATTTATTTTATTTTTAATATATAAATTATTTAAATTATAGAAATATTAAAATTATCTTTTTATCTATCACTTTCGTATCGATCCAATATGTCACGTGTTATGTTTTTAAGATAAATAATATTATTTATTTTTTAGAATTATAAGAATTCTAATATGTGATACTAATAGAATTCAAATATATGAAATAAAAGGATAAAAAGATAATCTATAATTAATCTATGGAAATTGCATGGCAATCAATACAAGAAAAGGTTCGATACAATAGATGACGAGAGAGAGAGAGAGAGAGAGAGAGAGAGAGAGAGAGGAGGAGGAGGAGGAACCTACATGCAGCAGGCGAAGAAGAGAAGAGGAAAGAAAAAAAAAAAAGTAAAAAGAACTAAAATAATTTATTATTCATAAAAATATCTTAAGTAAATAATGAGAAGAAAATATATGATCATTCATCACAGTAGCATTTTATAGTTTTGCATACATATATGATTATTAACTTATAATTTTTATATTCTTTAGCAAAGAAAGAATGATTTGTGATTAATTTTTGTTTTGTATGATTAATTTGTTTTCAAATCTTAAGAAGTATTTGAAAGTGTTTATTTAAAAGTATACGATTTGTAAGTATTAATTGAAAGATCTGCTCATTTATGACATATGCGATTGTTCAAAAGTCTAATAATTTTTAGAGTAATTAGTTCTAAAAATATTATATGTTGATATTTAGATTTAATATATATATATATATATATATATATATATATATATATATATATATATATATACTTTAAAGAGTTACTCAAATAAGTGTTAATTATATGATATTATGTGACATCACTCATCTATTTAGTATGGGTTTGATACATACGAAAGTTCAATATGATTGTGAGACCTCAGGATATACTCATGTTTATGTGACTTGGGATTTTGTTGAAGTTTGGACTTACTTTTATTAATGGTATTGTTTGAATTCAAATACCATAATCAATTCAGCATGTAATTGAATTTGTTGAACACCATTGTAGACAAATATATTATTTAAAGTAATATATTTTTATTTATCTCTATATTATGTAATACTATAAAAACTAATATGACAAAATAATGCTTAATCTTTGATTTATCGATTGTGGATATCAACATTTCTTCGAAAGACATTATTCATTTTTATGTTTACCATGCTATGTTTAAGTTTATAAAACAAGGAAATGTTCTGATAATTGGATCAGATATAAATATATCCTATTATCATAATAATATATATTTTTTTGGAAATAAACTTATTAGAACCTTTGCTTTGAAATTATCCCCGTCGGAAGTCGTCTGTATAACGATGGGCAAACCTGAGACACGTGTCAACGTCTAGTTGTCCTGTTACGTTGATACAACCAAAGAACGGCAAGCGCACGCATCCGTACGATGCCTGGTTCCTGTGTCGACCCGTGAACCCGCAGGTACCGACGTGGCAGACTCTGAGAGGGAAACCCGACCGTTGGGTGGGCCCCGCCGCGTGCAGTCTCCGGCTTCGTCCTCGACTGGGATTTGCTTCCCGTCGCAATCCGCCCGTCTTCTTCCCCGTGCAGTCACTCCAACGTTCCTAAGCATAAAAACACCCAAGCCATGCACGCTACCTTACAGAAAACACTAAACGCCATGCTTCCAGCCTTATCCCATCCTCCACTTTTCTCCGTGGAGAGACGACCGTTGCCATTCCCCCTCTCCCTTTAGCTGAAAAGTCACTACAAAGCAAAAGGATACTCCTGCCAAAGGCTCCAACCTTTTCCCCTCGTAGCCTCCTTGTTGTCCCTGTCCTCACGTTGTGTGTGTGCAAGAGAGGAAGAGAGAAGATGTCATCAGGTCACATGATGGGTTACTGTTGTGGTCTTGAGGTTTTCCTCAGACAATAAAATAAACCAGTTGCAGTGAAGGTACCATTCCCATGCCTAGGGCTGTGTTACGATCATTGTGCAGTGGCCTGCATGTTCCTCTCCAGTCCCTACGTGTTGTCGTTATTCTCTCCCCAAGGCCTCCATTGCGACCTCCCCCCAGCTCGGATCACTACCGTTGGCCCGACAACTACTACGACTAGTACTTATACTCGATACTGTTGTTCTTCTTATAACCTTCCTCCTCTCATCACGCTGTTCTTGATCTTATTATAGCCCCAGACACACACGCACACCTGCATCGGCACCATTAGTTCCATTGTCGCAGATCGATCTTTCGTCTGTCCTTTGAGTTGCTTGCAGTTCCCACTGGAATCGCAACTTGAAGGCTCTCCGTCTCTCTATTCTTCTCTCTTCATTAATTGCGTTGCACTTCTTAGCATTTGGATTGGCCATGGAGTCTCTAAGTTTGTTCTTCTTGTTTCTCTACCTCTTTGTGTCAGTGCACTGCAGTGCGTGTGAGCTCAATTCCACCAAGCCGCACCTGCACAAATGGTTCGAGCCCACCAGCCAGCACACCATCGTGGTGGACGCCAATGGCTCCGGCGACTTCTTGTCTGTCCAAGAGGCCGTCGACTCCGTCCCGGAGAACAACACCAAGCGTGTCATCATTCACATCCATGCTGGTTGCTACATGTAAGTAACTCTTCTTCTTCTTCTTCTTCTTCTTCTCCTTCTCCTCCTCCTCCTTAAATGTTGATTGTTCCTCTTTGGTGTTTGCAGAGAGAAGGTAGTGGTGCCGGCGACGAAGCCGTACGTGACGTTCCAAGGGGCCGGCAGAAACGTTACGGTGATCGAGTGGCACGACCGGGCCAGCGATCGAGGACCCAACGGGCAACAACTACGGACTTATAATACGGCTTCTGTGACTGTTTTTGCTAACCATTTCAGTGCTAAGAACATTAGCTTCAAGGTGAGTGATCGATTCATTCAGAGGTCTCGAACATGGCCTGTCAGCTCAACAAGCTATCCAAGGAGCAAGTCCTCATGGCCGATGAAACCAGAAACAAGAGCAATTTGAGTAGATAAAGTGGCTAATGAGGTTTGGAATGGCAGAACACGGCTCCAGCACCGATGCCGGGCATGGAAGGATGGCAAGCTGCAGCATTCCGCATCTCAGGCGACAAGGCGTACTTCTTCGGCTGCGGCTTCTACGGCGCGCAGGACACCCTCTGCGACGACGCGGGGCGACACTACTTCAAGGATTGCTACATCGAGGGATCCATCGACTTCATCTTCGGCAATGGCAGATCCATGTACAAGGTAAGGAATCGAAGCAGCTCTCTCTCTACCTATTCCCCTCCTGTGGTCAAAACGCATCCGGTTCTGAGCAGGATTGCCAACTCCACTCGATCGCAAACCGGTTTGGATCCGTCGCAGCTCAGGACAGGAACAGCCCGTGCGAAAGAACTGGATTCGCCTTCGTGAACTGCCGAGTGACAGGCTCAGGCAAGCTCTACGTGGGGCGAGCCATGGGGCAGTACTCGAGGATCGTCTTCGCTTACACCTACTTCGACGATGTGGTCGCGCCGGGCGGGTGGGACGACTGGAATCACAACAGCAACAAGAACAAGTAAGTGAACCCCTCCATCTTCTCTACTCCTGTAAATGATCATAGTAGAAAGTGATCGTCTGTTGCCTGATCTGTTCTTCCTCTGTTCATCGCAGGACGGCGTTCTTCGGCGTCTATAGATGCTACGGTCCCGGTGCAGCAGCAGTGCGTGGTGTTTCGTGGGCTCGAGAGCTCGATTTCGAGACGGCACGGCCGTTCCTCGTCAAAAGTTTCGTGAACGGAAGACATTGGCTCGGCCCTTCCGACCCCTGAGCTGAAACAGACAAACTCTTCAAACAATGGCTCACACACACTCTTCAAACAATAGCTCACACATTTGTAATCTCCATACAGCAAAACATAGAAGTTGATGCCATCATACCAGCAAATTATTTCATTATTTCTTCTGATCATTCCATCATTCATATTTGTCTTCGAACCACGCAATAAGTGGCAAGCATGTATTTCTTGGAATAATATAGTGAGAGTTTGATGTTTACCCAAGTGATCCCAAAGCAAAGTTTTGACACAATATTAAACCATAAATTGTCTTTTACACGCTTTACAATTTAGCTGATTGCCCATACAAACAATCAGAAGAACAAGTTGTTCCCCACATTGTCATTTTTATGAACAACGACAATGCTGTTTATTTGTGATTCAGAAGAAATTATTTAGCGTCTGATCCGACTCATCTTCTCATAAACCTTCACAACAATTTCTGTATAGAAACTTGCATCCACATGTTTTTAATTTAAAAGAATGTATCCAAGGACTGCGATTGTGCCTCTGTAAGCATACTAAACTCTTCAGGGAAACTCTTCCATGATCAGTAAGCTGTTGGGTCCTGCGTCATATATATCATCTGTTGCCACCAGCTTATTAGGCATATATGGATATACAAGACAGCCACACATCAAAGCTCAACCTGATGAAGGTCATCACCCATTTTAACCCAATTAAGCTGCAGAGATGAATTGCTCCAGCAATCATCATGGACAAAGGTCATCTTCAGAGGAGTTCACTCCAGCCATTGTAGGCATGAAAATGGTGTTGTACTTTCCACTCCATGATGGTGCCGGTGAACCATTAGAGAATGAGCCTTTGTTATTTTGTAGCACTGCTGCTGCACCCTTTTTAGAGAAGGTGTTAGTATCCATGCCAGGAGAATGTTGCACAGTTAAAGGTATCGGTGGCGATGATGATAAAAATGATGCTTCCTTATCTACTGTAGTAGAAGATTCAGAAACCAACAAAGCTCCTAAAGTGCTTTCTCCTGCTGTAACATCACAAGTTGCAGGCGTGCCAGGAGCAAAAAATGTGGCACCAACTGCTGGCTTAACAGATGGAGTAGAGGGTGACCGGAATGAATTTGTGAAGACCCCTCCATCCTTGTTGAATGTGTCGACGTATCTAGAAAAGAGACCAAATTAACATAATTTTTGCCACAATTAACAGTATATAATTCCTTGTAGTAAAAGTGAGAAACCCACCTAGATCTTACACCCATTCTGTTGCGGGCTGAGAATTGGTTTGGGCCAGGCGATATGGGTGGGATCCCTGAAGCATGTTGTAATGGACTAGGATAACTGGTTTCCAGTATTCCATTAGCATTGTGAGTTGGGCTCTTAAAGGCACTATTGGTGTCATTGACAGAAATCCCATTTTGGTGGGCAACTGTGGTTGGAGGAGGTGGTAAATAAGCTTCTTCAGGTTGAGGTTCAACACCCTCTTCCACCCATCTCTTGAGTTTTTCATCATAAAAAAATTTGTTTCTTTCACCCAATTTTGCCTTCATTCACAATTGAAAAGGTAAGATGTGGTTTAAATAAATATACAAGTCCTGCTCTTTCAAAATTGTGAGGCATCAGAAAATGTACCTGGCATTCTGAACGAGATCTCGAGACCCACCCTACAGTCCTCTGAAAAATCTGAGAACCAAAACGGCCTAGACGCGATGAAGCTTTGCTCTCTGAGTCAGGTGAGATTGAATCCACAGATTTGTCCTGAATGAAGTAGTAGAAAGCTCACAATATAATTCCACAAACTCAAAATGGAACATGGTCAAGAATGTAGTATAAACATTTACAATAAAGTTTGTGTTACTGTAAAAAAATTGCTGAAGGAAAGAATCTACCTGCTTTAAGGCTTTGCCAAAATCTGGCTCTGATGCACTTCTGCTGTGCATAGTCCTGCTATTTATTGCCCAATCATTCAAGTTTTCTTGGGAACTTGACGGAATTAAGGATGACATGGCCATTGTGGATTGACTGTTAGCTACTTTTGGGGCAACAGAATTATATTCTTTGCCATTTGTGCCACTCTGAGGCATTGGCGTGGTACCAATCATGCGGTGGATGGATCTATCAATTGACGTAAATAATTTACCAACAAGTTTTGCAGGGTCCAAATTTGTGCTATACCCAGCCTGAAAAAGTAATAATGAATATAAATCAAGGGAAACAAACTGGAGATTATTATGGGTAGTAAACAGTGGATTGGGAAATTGTACCTGCAGATGCATTCGCAAGCGATCCTCTAGAGATGAAAATAGTGATCTCCACATCTCAATAACAGGTGTGCGACTAGAACTTTTCAGCAGCTTCAAGGACGCCTGGCAATACCTACATTGGACAAATACCAGCTCAGGAAAATTCATCAAGAAAAGAACTAATTACAGTGTCACCAACCTCAAAGAATCAGAAACGTTCCCAACTTCTGCAAGCATGTAAGCATATACAAGCTTATATGGTTGAAATGGTAACAAGATGAACTGGGAATTCCCAAGCACCTTCGAATATTCATATAACTCTGTCCTCTGCAAGAAAATTTGTTATGTTCAATTGTTTAAGATTTTAAACATCTAAGACAAAAATCTTATCAAACATATTTCAGAATATGCCAGCTTCCATCTAAAAGTCAACAATAGACCTTAGTTTCAAAATAGATTAAAGTAGGCAAAAGGTCACATATGAAGAAGTAAAGTTGAGAAGAAATCAAACATCAAGATAAAGCATCATTTTCACATCTTTAGACCCTAACAAAATTTCGAAATACCCCAGGAAGGGAGGCAGAGCTGGGGGAAGAGATAGAATTATTAGAATCCCTAATATATAAAATCTGCATATGCAGAAAAAGTAGAGTTTAAGCCATAGTGGGGGTCCCACCAGAACCTTTTATATCAACAAAGTGGACAGTAGATTAACATGGGCCTATGCATACAGATGCTATTTGCAGAAGCGTTTACTGACCCAGCATAGATAATCACTAGATTAGTTTCTTCACATCCGACATCAACATATAGCTTCATTTGGAAAAAAGATAAAGAAAAGGAAAAAGGCAAGTTTACCGGTTTACTTGTCATAGATTACAAACATTTAGAAGCATACGATCGCATATAATCACTATAACAAACTAACTCACAAACCATTACGTATGCTTAAAATCATCAGCCACATCAGTAGAAACAGGATGCAATCACAATAAAACAGGATAGGGTTCTATATCATTTGGTTAACTTTATGACCATAAAGATTATCACAAAACATTATCAAAGAAAAAACCCACAAAATACTACATAGAATCCACCAAAACTAATGATGAAAGAAAATGGGCACAACCTGGATAGCATCAGGACTGGCATATGTGCGAGGATGCTTCCAGTGATCTGCACCAAGAAGGCACATTCTTGCACTGTCAGAGTATGACTCAAAGTTAGCTTCGGCAACCAAGTAGCAGATGTGTGCAGCAGCTATCTGTATCAAAGGTACAGAGAATATTAAACATAGAAAAAAGTTAAGATCCTTAGCTAGATTTAATCAAGGATAAAATACTAAATACAAACCTTTCCTTTTTCCCTCCACAAACAATCTCCAAGATGAAGTATTACCAATTCATCATCTTTTGTTCTATTTGCGGTAATAATAGCTAGATGTTTTTCCCAGTCATCAAGCATTCCATTGGAAAGGACCTGTATTATATTGGTGACATCAGAAATCACATATACAATCTAAACAAAGAAGAGAGTTGCTCAAAATAAGTTTTACATCTTGCTTAAACATTGAGTCGAGACATGAAGTGCTTAGTCACTTTCTAGAAAAGTATCTGATTTATTGTCACCTTCATAGACTGTTCTGGTGCATTATCAGAAGTGGGAAAACTACTATCTGAGGAGTTCTTGAAAGAAAATACATCTGCAGGTTGTCCAGCAATAAGCAAGTATAATGTCCTCAAAGGTGATCCAGATATGAACTGTTGATTAGCCATTTGCTTGACAGTTTCAACATAAAACTGCAAGTAATCAACCAAAACATTAACTTAAAGGAAATGGAAGCTCTTTGAAAAACATTGGAACCATTATCAGTTTAGCAAAATAAAATGTCAAATACCTTCTCGCCAAGCTGTGCTGCAAGAATAAGAGCAAGTCCCCACAACTGGCCTGCTTGTGCACATTGAAGAGCCTCCTTCCTTCTACCAAAAACAAGAAGATTCTGCACTGCAATGGCAGTTCCCTGATCAAGTGGCAGAAAGTTTTATTATATAATGTGTCAATAAAAACATTGAAAATATAAAATTTTACCTGTATATCACCTTCAGTAGGCAGGTACTGCATGCAGTCTGTGATAGAGCCATACTGCACCGAAGAAGTACCATTCTTGCTAACAGATGCAAAAAGATTAGTAATGGCAGATGCTGGACCATCGGTGTCCTATTCAGAAAAAGAAAATGTTAGCACATTGAATTCCTCATTATGAAACATAATATATTAATCCATGAGGGACCTAGATAGATCCACTTAGGCAACATGGATTATTTTGTATAAAAAGGTAAATTTTATTTGCAGTGCGTTTCACAGGCTAATAACTGCCATTCGCTACCTGTAGAGGCCAAAGTAATGATAAAGAAAATAAATAGTATCCTGATGTCTAAAACTAGCTTCTTGACTATATTAATATTTTGTTATGGAGGTGTATGACGATAAGCATTTCCAATTCCTTCCTCACCATATGATGTCCTCTAAAATCCTCTATTAAAACTAAAATCTTAAAGTATCCCTATTAGTTATCAATTTCTTGTGACGTATGCACCTTTTATGTTCCCTAATACATGGCAGCTCAAAACTAACATGTCAAGACACCATCTTGATCAAAACAATAAAAGTCTTTAAGTTTAACTAGATTAGTGTGAAAAAGATGCCTAGAGCTTCCTGTTAGTTCTGAAAAGATCACAGCACAAAGATCAATGAAGTGATGACCAGCATCAAGTCATCAACGGATTGAATGAGTGGCAGGTAGTAAGGAAGAAAGAAATCTTTACATAAAATACATCAGTAACCAATAAATCTACTTCTATGCAACCGAATGAGTATATATAATCCAACATGTTAAGTTTTCTGCATGATCAGGAAAATATCTGCAACAAGATCTCCTCATGGTCCTCTAGAACTGCAACCAAGGTAGAATGAGTATGTAGCTTGATGAGGTGGATATGGCTATATTACAAAGTTGGAAAAAGAAGAAACAAATAGCTGGAGTAAGAGGCTGTAGAGGTTAACAAAAGTATGAAAGATAAGAAGCATCCAGAACAGATAATTTTATTCTTTATCATAAACCATGTAAGGTAACGAATGCTAACTTTTAAAGTAGTTATACAAATATAACTCAAGAAGATGACTCCTTATGCATACGTTTCTACAGCTCAAGACATGATAACTCCCGCCATAATCATAGGAATAGAAGAATATGCCACAGCCAATAAATATTACTTCTAGTAGCCCAAACACCATCAGTGGCTCAATACAGGAATGTGTCCTAATTAACAGCATATAACCTGTATTGAGTTTGCGGATATTATGCATAAGTAACAATAAATGTTTATGCACAGAAAAGTCTGAGGAACCAGTTGTTTCACATTGAGATATTTAAATATGTTGAATAAATGGCTAGTAAGTGACTGATTTATGCAATAATGGGATATTTTCTCTAGGGGAATTTCTAAAACTTCAACCACAACCCCAGCGAGATAAAGTACGTCAGTTTCCTCCTCTTAAGTAAACTTAGTGAAACTAATTGAACAAGCAGAAGCATGGCTTCACTAACTATGCTTCCACTGAGCTTTATCATCTAAATATGTAGATCCTAGAAAGACACAATAAGATTGGTTAATTGGCAGCCTACATTGTCAGTTTTTGCATTTGCATAAACTGCAACCTCAATACTTTGCTTCCAGAAATCAATCATCAAAATGATTTACTATGGATATTGCTTATACAGGTGCAAAAGAATTTACAAGAAAACCAGCAAAATGCATCTCATGGAGCATTATGAAACATGAATTTGGCAGAAAATATCAAGTTCATAATCGGAAGTTGCATTAACTAGATACAATTAAAGTACAAAAAGATGAGCTTAAGAAGACCAATCAAATATTTACCTCAACTGATGGGTCAGAACTGAAAGGAGATCGAAGTTTCCCATAATGTTGACATAATATTTTCAGCAATGAAAGAAGCAACCTATGCAGTTCTCCTTCAGTAGCATATACCAAGGAATGTGCTATTTTGTCATCTATCCATTTGTTCACATCCTTTGCTGAGGCATTGCCACCTATAAGTGGACCAGGAAAAGATTGCTGGCACAATGCATGGAAATAACCACATTTAGTAGTTATGGTGGTTGAATCATCAGTTTTCTTCATCAAAATATCCATTAAACCCAGAATGGAGATTGAACCCCCGATGGAATCCTTTATGAAAGAGATCAAAGCATCAGTTTCAAAAACAGGATCAAAAGACTTTATGTTGCTATCGTAGACTCAGAGCAACAAAGAACTGACATGATTTCTGTCAAACTCTTAAATTCTAAAATTCAATCAGAAAAGTTAACAGAGTAAGTTATCAGAGCTACCTTCCTTCCATAATCCAAGTTTGAGCCACAACAGCTTGCATCTTTGATGAGAATGAGTTTACCACCAAAACCAAAAGCAACCAAAGGATGCGGAGGACGCCCAGCTGAAGATCTGCCTTCATTTAGAGCATAAGAAAAACTAGAACATGGTGGACTTTCATAGCTCATTGATCGCTGAGAATGGTAGGTTGCCATTTGATTGCCTTGATGCCCATGAGATAAGTATGCCTGGAAGCTTTGGTCAACTTTTGGCTGATTAACATGGTCCATATTCTTTGCAGGCAGAAAGTTCTGGAGCCTTGTTGCACCATTACTACTGCCGTAATCATAATTTGACAGTGGTTCCAGGTCCCTAGTACCTACTTGGACATCCATACAGTTTGCTGCATGACCCATTGTGTTATATAAGTTTATTTTCTGTCGATTGTCATTGAAATCAGGGATGCCCTCGTCCACTGGTTCAGGTTGTTGCATGTTTTCTTCAACAGACTTACTCCTAGAGCCATCCCAGTGAATTTCCATAACCTGGCTGTAGTGGCCATGTATAGTACCAGTTGTTGCCTGAACGGCCGGAGTGTAAGATTGAAGTGTGTGCCACTGCTGGATGTTAGTGTCATAGTACCATCCAGGATATTGAGGATCTAACACCACATTAGGTGGATATTCAGTGCTACCATAAGAGTCCTGATTCCAGTTGGAAACATAACCAGTGGAGCTATCCTCAGCTGTTTCTGCCACCACCGAGTTAGCAGACTGTTGATAGTAAGAAACCTCTGAACTCTGGTCCATAATAATTCCATTACCAGCAGCCAAAACTTTGTCTTGATCATGTTGTTGTTCATTCATTGCATTGCTGGTTTCTGGTTCAGCAGTTGTTGCTACATCATAATCATTAATTTGATACCACTGACCAGTGCTAACATCGAACTTCCAACCGGGATAGAGACTCTCCCAGTATTGAGCTTCATTCACATCTGGAGTTTGTTCACTCGGCAAGCTATAACACTGAGAATCTTGTTGTTCAATGGACTCGAAGTATGAGCATGCATCAGCGGCTGAATTGTCTGCAGAACTACACTTTTGGTCAACTTCAGCTTCGAGCTTGTTGCCGCACTCACCCACATTCTCCGCCGAGAAGTTTGTGTAGGATCCAAATCCATCTGAATCAAACTGCGGCGGATCAACTCTGAACGCACTCCATTGCACCTCCTTTACAGCCGTCTCCTTTGATCCAGTGTTCTTCCCCAGCGACGAACCTGGAGATCCGAACTCCGATCTGGTCTCCGTCGAACCTCCAGATGCGACCACATCGTCACGAGCTGGTAATGGTGCCGATGCCACAACCTCTTGTTGCTCGTCCTTGGAATCAAAGGTTTCAACTTCCACCCTAGAGGTAAATGAATCAGTTGATATGGGAATTGCACTGCTTTCCACCACCAAGGATCTGGGTTTGGGAGATCCGGGCCACTGCGTGACCCCATTTTCTTGACGGTTTCCATCTGTCGCTGCCAATCCAGAAACCCCCAGCCTCGAGTCCTCCAATGGAAGACCGACATCATCGATGCTCATATTAGAAAAGGCCATTTCGGTGGTTGCCTGCTCGGAAACAGATCCAGCAAAAACCAAATCATCATTACTGACGAGGTTGTCGAAGAAGTCCTCATCGGTTTGATCCGCCAACGAGAACGGAGGAGGAGAGGCCATCGGATACAAGAAACAAACACCGACGAGCTAAGGATCCCCTCCTCCTCAACAAAAAGGAAGCATTCACCTCAACAACCCTCAGATCTATTCAACTCCCATCACCACCTCCACAAATTCATCAAGCTAAAGCTCCCAACTTTTCAGCCATTATAGGTTCCTCGGAGGGAATCGCGGCCAAAGGCACAAATTAACCAAGATCCGGCGTGCGTCGTCGTTCTTACGGATTGGAAAAAGAAATCCACGAGAGAAGACACAAGAAAAAAAAAAGCAGAAATGGAAGGTGGAAATTGGGCGACGGAGAGGAACGGAGAGTTACCAACGACGGTGAGGATTGCAGCGAATCGATCAAAGCAGCTTGGAATCGACGAGAGTGGGAGCAGCAAAAGACTGTGGGTTTGGAAGCAGCCGGCATCCCACCACCCCTACGGAGCTTCTCTTATACGCGTTCGCTCTTTGATATTTTATTTTTGTCTTCTTTTTATTTACCCGCCAAAGAGGGGGGAAAAGGGGATTTCCTAAAATAAAAACAAGAGTTTTTTTCTATTACTTTTAACCTGCGGTTTGGCAGTTCCTTATTTTTTGGGATTTTTTCCTGAAATTTGTATTCCTCAAAATGTAAAAAACATAAATTACTAAATTAAAAGAAATGTTACATTATCCTGATCTCGAATTATTAAGGATATAAAATGCATAAATAACATCCCATATCTCATCTACTTACCTAAACTTGTAGATGTAATGATATTAATCAAGATGTTAAGATAGTAGAAAGTATTGTGTCCAAATCTTCTCAGAATAAGGTTATCCGAATATGTTAGTCACTAAAGTATATATCAAGCCATCAAGTACTTTAATTTTAATATATATATATATATATTAAATTTGTATTAAAAATTAGTTTGTTTGAGTTAAAAATAAGAATATTTTTATTAAAAAAAATATAAATTGGAGTTTCAAATTATACTTAACTAATATAAGTTGATGGAGATTACCTATAATAATATATATGCAAGATTTTAGGGTTTTGGGGGATATTATATGCACATACTAATGTTGGTTTAAGAGCTTAATTTCAATCAAAGTATTTTTTAAGGAATTAATTGATTTCATGTAAACTATTTTTTATGTTTGGATACATTAAGTGCTTTCAGTATATTTTTCTTATCTTTTCCATCTTTAAATTGAGGACTTATAAGGGGAAATATAAAAAATTGAGAAAGAAATATAAAATTGTAAAATCTAATATTTTCCTCATATAAAGTCAATATTTCATATATATATGGTTATCCTCACCAAGCCATGGGTTGAATAAAGGGACTAGCATGCATTATGATTCAAGATTCTTTAGACTTGGAGCTATCATACTATATCTTTTGATTCCAAGATCCTTAATGATTCTCTATTACAGTCACTTGAGAATATAATCTTATATATATATATATGTATATTGAAGTTAAATCTGCACAAAAGCAAAGGAGAAAAGACTTGAGGTGGATGAACATCCACTGCAAATAAAGATCTGCTTGTCCACCTACAATCTACAAATTATCATCACAGCTACTGCCTTCCTCATGTAACTGTGTACTCTTCTTGCATAAAAAGGCAGGGGAAGTGAAAAAGGTAGAGAGCAAAAGTGAAGCACTTGATCATCATCATCTTCCAAGCCTCGATACTTCATTTTGCCAAGTGATAATGACACATTATTAACAAATGCTTCTTAATTATAAACATCATAATGACACACAAATGCTTCTTAATTGAGTTATAACTCACAAATATATATGGTTCTAGGCAGAATAGTGTCACTGTGGCAGCTGTGGTTTCTGGAAGTGCAGCAATCACAGTTGAAACCACAGCAATTTGATGGACAGCACTGGCGCAAATGTGAAGGATTTCCATCTCCTTTGATAAATCTTTTTACCTCACTGTGCATGCAAGAAACGTCACCATGATGGCTTCCCCTGATCACCAATCAAATCAGTCAACTCTGGGGATGCCGAATACTAATTGTTCTATGAATTCTCTCACATCTTCTGACGGGAATAGCTTTCTGTGGAACGAAGAACATAATTTCATCTCTATGCAGCCTTCTAGTACTTTTCGTTGCCATCGATCTGCATGCGTCGACTCTTTCCCGATGAGACAACAGAGCACTGCAGTAAATCTCTGTGGCAGCTTCTCTGTTTAGATGTCGAATCTGTAACTTAGCACGAGTGCTGCATGGAAGTAATCCGTATTTAATGTCTCGGTGTTTGATAGCTAGAAGTCTTTGCCCTGTTTGAGTGTCAAACCTACTCGAGCCCATGGATTTCAAGTCAAGGATGCACGAGGCCATCTTAAGCAACATGGAGACCATGGATTTCCTACCTAAAGGAAATAAATTTCTCGTAGTTATATTGTTCAGATCATCTTGTTTTATCCCTGCAAGTAGAGATTCATCTTATGCTGTTACGATTGAGATTCCCAGTGCAAGTGAGACTGGAAGAAAGGAAGAAAAGGAGCTGAGCCAGTAACCTGCAGCAGTGAGCAGCTATTTGAGTTGTTCCTTTGGCCATTCCAATGCTCGCTTGAAAGTTGTGTGAAGAGTGGAAAGCCCGCAACCCCACACTCAACTCTCTCTCTCTCTCTCTCTCTCTCTCTCTCTCCCTCTGCCCCAGTCGACAACAGCCAACCTATCTCATGATACATGTTATTCTTCTCGCCCTCCTACTTTATTCCTTTGCCACCCTCACGCGCATCATGTACACTCCAAGCAGTCCTTTAATCGCTCACGTAATTGTGGTAGAAGCATCTGCAGGAAATATAAAACAGTTCGATGCTTTTGTTGCGAGAAGCAAAAACATGCCATGGAAACTGGCAACGACGGGTAGGTGTTTTCTTTGATATAGCAAGAGTTTCCAATGCTCCACCAAATAGCTTCTGCGGGACCCGGTTCAATTTCTTCTTGTTCCGGTTCGAACCGCCTACAAAGTGTGCAATTGGACCCAAACCGAACCGCGCACTTCGATCGAAGCCGCTCTTCGCGCAGCCCAGACCAGTTGTAACCCGCAGAGAAAGCTTCGCGAAAGGATGAGAGCTCGAAGAAGGGAAAGGGTGAAGAAAAGCTTCCGCATTCCTCCCCTGTTTGAGGGCAATATCAACAACATAATCAAATCACCAGCTTTATCCAGTGTTAGACTGGAAGAGGAGGAGTTGAAGCTTCTTAGTTTATCTCAAAACTTCGACCCTTTTTGTGTTTCTGTGTCTTTAGGCTTAGTTTGCTCTCTCTTTGTGCTGTGGGTAGAGAGAGAGAGTGCTTAGATTGCATGCTTGCCACACGTTGAGGTAGGGAAAGGAACTTCAGTATCGGAAATGGCGGACAGCTCAAGGTCGTCGACCGCTGGCGCCGGCAGGTTAAGGTCGATAAGGCCGAAGCTGCGGACGTAGTTGGTGACGGCGGGGACAGGGGAGGTGCTCGACGGCGATTTGTTGGTGACGGAGGACATAAAGTGCGACCTCTTGTGGCCGCCGAGAGCTTGGCCGGAGCTGAAGACTCTGAAGCAAAAGGGGCACTCGTAGACTCTGGCATCGGCGTTGGTGTCGACGCCGTCGGCCGAGCTGGCGACTCGGCGTTCCACGGCCGGGACACAGCCGTTTATTCTCTTGTGGCTCGCCCGGTGGCCACCGAGCGCTTGGTACGACCGGAACACCTTCTTGCACGCGTCGCACTGGTGCCGACTCCTTCCCCTCCGGAGCGGGGGCCGCGATCGGGCGGCGGCCCAGGAGTCGCGGGAGAGCATCATCAGGCAGAGGGCGACGTCCTCGTCGGGGGTCGCGTACGAAACGGAGCTCGCCGGCTCCGCATCCGGTTGATCCGGCGAAAGGGCAGTGGCCCCGAGGCGGCGCTTCTTCGTTCGGAGGCGACGGGCGCGGGGTGACTCCGTCTCGCTCTCCGAGTCTGGAACGACGACGCAGGGGCCAGCTGGCTCGTCGGCGGCGAAGGAAGAAGAGGAGGAAGAGGAGAACACTGAGTCCACGAGCCGGAAGTTCTTCCGGAGGTTCACGCGGAGGCCACAAGAGAGTCCCACCTCCACCGCCTTCTCCTCTTCCACGTCGCGCTCCGACGCAGCATGACCAGAGGAGACGGAGGAGTGGGAATCTCCAGGGCGGCACGACCTCGACCGAGGGGCTGTGGAGGTGACGTGAGAGCGCATGTGACGGCCAAGAGCGTAGCCGTCGGAGAAGCGGCGGAAGCAGACGTTGCAAGTGCGCCCGTCCATCGAAGCAAACAGTAGAGGAGCACCGGAGATCAACCTAAACTGGGAAGCTCTTCTTCTTCACAGAGGACGAGGAGAAGGGAAGTGTTGAAGAAGAGAGGGAGCTAAAACAGTGCAGGGTGACAAGCATTCCTCCACCACCTCACCTCAAGGAGAGAAGGAAAAGGAGAGAGATGAAATGAAAAGAGGAAGAGAGAGAACAAGTGGAGTGTATCTTTCGGCATTGGGAAGTCAAGACACGGAGGGAAGGCATTAAAGACATTATGGGAACCGCATCTGCACGGTTGCATGCATCTTTCTTATCCCCTCTCCCTCCACTGTGTTTGCGACGACGGTGCACGAAACATGGGAAAGTTATCAAGGGTTCCTCCGGAATCAAATGCCATACCCATCCCTTTCTTAGTACTAAACCAACAAATGTTAATTACTTCATCTAAGTGTACATTATTTTTCTTTCTAAAAACATTGGGCAATTTAGTTTCCCCTCATATAAGTGTATATATTGAATTATAATTAATTTCCATTTTCTACTGTAAGCTAATGTTGACTTGAAATTATAAATCACATCACTGTTCTTTAAAGCGGATATGGTCAAATATAAGCAGTTACAATTAATTATGCAGCAGCTCAAAGTCAAAACTACTGTGATGACAACATCTCATCTCTTCTCTGAGTTCCAATTTATGGAGCTACATTTTATGTTTTGTATTTAACTCAAACAAACTGAATTTGTAGTTGGAATTGGAATCAGATCAATTCTAATAGAATCATCAGAAAAATAAATAAATAACAAAGCAAAATATAATTTGGTGGAGTCTCTTTTCGAGTTGGGTGGGTGGATGGGTGGGTCCATCGAATTTTAAGAACATATGGGTGAGACAAGTCCGGAGGACGATAACCATCAAACTGCATATGTCTAACCGGAAACTAACTGAGATCTAAACCCAATAAATTCGTGAATCCAACATGAGAAGCACACGTACGTTATCGAGTCGAGTCTCAAATCCATAAACATGATGGGGTGTATTGAGTTGACACATTTGTTCCCATAGTGATAACGGGGAGGGGGGAAACACATATGTGTGTACGCAACTAAGAATACGCAGACCAGTCCTTCATGATCATGTCGGCAACGAGTACGACACAAGAGTGCCATCAGATTGCGGTAGCTGATCACTTTCTTGACTTCAAAGACGAGCGGTCGTCACATGTTGGGTTGGACTCGGAAGCCTTCTTCAAGTGGAGTTTTCTCGTGGAATTGAAGTGTGTTGTCTTCCACACTGTGGCCATGGAGCTCTGTTGTCTTCTAAGGAAATGGCGTTCGAGGAAAGGGAAGCTGAGACAAGGCAGCCGAAAGAGATGGATGCCAAAAGAGAGAGGAAAAGTAGAACATATTGTTGGAAAGAAATCGGAATAATCTTTTCCCTCTTTGTGTATCAAAATAGGTTTCTCATCAAAATACCAACTTGATATCCAAATGAAAATATCAACCAGCACAGTATAAACAATAGAGCAAATAATCAATCACACAGTGAGAAGTTTACAGTAGGTCTTTTCTAGAATAACTAAAGGATCATAATAACATCAAGAACATAGATCTTGGCTCAAGAATAGCATATCTTCATCACATAGAATTCTAGGTCTCACAAAATGGATATCGCAGGAAAATACCTTAGAGAGGGTAAACTACAAATCAACACCATTAGGATTGTAGAGTTTGCTGCAAGGATTCTCCACATAAAATTTGGACCGAAACTGACAACGTTTGACTACCGATCGTCAAGCAGAAAACTGAAACCTTACTTTCTCTTTCTCTTTTCTCTACACGCCGCCGCACGTTGCAATCTGATCTGCGCACACACACGTTTCACGCTGCCCAATTTTGCCCTTTCTCTCTTAATTACTGATTTGGGCTTAGCTCAAATTGTCCAAGCCCACATGACCCAACACATATATGACTCGAAGATTTAGGAGAGAGGACGATAAAGAGAGAAATTAATCAACGCTTTGACCATGCAAATGGCTTAAAGATCATCCTAATGTCAAAGCCAACTGAAGTGAGATGTTGACTTGGTCTAAATTTGAATACCTGCACATACACTATTATTGATTGAATATAAGCTAAAAAACTTATAGATTGAATATTATCAGCATAATGATGTCAAAACTTATATCATTTTATAATTTTGTTATTAATAATATATTGTATATTTTCACTCATTTAAAGATAATGATAATATATTTATCATTGCTTTAAAAAAATCATATTATTAAAATTTGATGATAAAATAGTCAAATAGATGCATGATCATGATGATGTCAACAGCTCTCAATCAAACTAACCAAGCTGAATGACCTTTAGAAGCCTTCTATTTGATCCTAAAAAGCTAACTGATGTCAATCTTAATTCTCAAATATCTATTGCATAATCTTTTGAAGCCTCAAAGATCTATTTGATCCTAAAAAGCCCACTTACTTTGATCTCGATCATGATCAAACTCATATTAGTGTAGCCTTTACTCAAATAACAGCAACCATCAAGCAAAAGGGGTATCGTCGTCCTTTAAGGAAAGTCCTAGCCGCTAGCATCCTTTAAGAAAAGTCTTTAAATCCTAAAGATTTAGGGTACTCTTCTGCCTATAAAACAAGAGTGTGCTCACATCTAAAGAGAACGAAAAGAAGTCTCTTGCAAGCCAAAATCGACTATAACTTTTTCAACTTAAAAAAATAAGAAGAGAAGAGAGGATAATAGAGAAGGGGAGGGTTATATATAAGTTTCAATAGTCAAAGCTTTACATCAAAGCTTCATCCAGCTACTCTAATAAGTTCCCAAAGTCTACCGTTGGCAATTTAAACCTCAGAAGGAGGCTCCAACGATAAAAAAGAAGGAGAAGATCAAAACAAATCATGATACACAAACTACCGAGAGCATCTATGTGTTGTGGAAAGACAACCTATGTTCTTATGCATCCATGAGCTTTCTATCACGTTTTTAACGTCATAGTTTTAAGTTTGATAGTTAGCACTTTAGCTTTAGAAGCAATATGGTTGTTTTCTTTTGGTTTTATACTTAGTTTTTCTGCTATATTTCTCTTCTTTCTTAAAACTTCTATCCGAAAAGTGATATCGGTTGACAGATCATCGAACCCGAACTTTATATAGATCAAGTGATATCAGAGCAACATTCTTTGGATGATAACTATAAAGCAAGGATACAAAACTTTTGAAGAAGAGTTACAGGAGTTGGAGTCTAAGCCACACTCACTACAAGGAAGAAACATCGATGAGATGGTAGCCAACCATCCAACAATCTTGGCTAGCATTATTGCCTAGATGTCGATAATTGGCCCAGCATATGAAGAACGTCAAGGGCTAGATGCAAGTCGAAAATAATACTATAGCTAAAGATAAATAAGTAAATAGTGTCACAGCAAAGGAGAGAGAGTCGTCTCTATCTAAGACGTGTAACTACGAAGAAGATATTACTGAACATAACATTGCAGTAAGAACTCGATCCCATCACATCGAGGCTCATATTAACATACCCTCCTATGATGGCTCAATCAATACTAAGGTATTAGACTCATGGATAGATCAACTTAATATTTATTTTGATCTATATTACGACAACAATAAGGATAGGGTGATGCTTATCGACTCAAGCTAATTGAACACATACTTGTATAGTAGAAAGCCTATCTTTAAACTAATAGCGAGGAAGGCATGTCATGAACATAATTCAAAAGGCTTATACGAGAATAATTCTACCATATAGGGTATCTCAAAAAAAGACGAAGGAAGTGACATTAACTAAACCAAAGAAGGAACTATTTCATGCATGAATACACCATTAAGTGTTGACAACAAGCGGTGATAATCGAAATTTTTCTTAACAATTACTTCGATGATGAAATACACCCATTGGCCTCTATGAACAGATTCATGCAGAATGGAGTCTCATTAGATTATATGATTTTTAGATCACTAATAATATGACAATGGTGATCGAGAGAACGAACCACACCTGTATTAAGAAGCTTGCAGAGAAGGCTAAAGGGAGCTACCTAAAGAACTCTTCCCAAAATAATGGTCGAAGAACGATCAAATACGAATTTGAGTCTATTGCTAATGTTTAGACCGAAGGTTATAGCTCAAATCCAACCCTCGATCTAGAAATTCAAAAAGAATTATTCACTCTTAAGATCTAAGTGAAACATGAGGTCATTGATGCGATCGTTAACTTCAGAAGCCAAAAGAACCTTATCTCAATGAGCTTAGCCAAGAAGCTCGACATAGATACGACATCGCACCTGTACCCATATCATCTTGGATGGCTTTATGATGATGTGGAGACGAAGATCAACCAACAATTTAAGATTCACTTTGCCATTATAAAGGAATTCATTAATGAGGTGATCGTGTGATATGGTTCCACTTGATATATATCAAGTTATCTTTGGAATATCTATTTATTAGATCGAAATATTGTTTACTTTCACTAACCCTAGAAGTATAAACTCCAGAAGGATAGAAGGAAATTCTTCGTCATCGGAGATGAGATTGGTTCAACGGAAGACTTGATATTCATCGGCCAAGCAAAGAGGATGGTAAATGCTCGTCGAAAGCTCATGGCTCTCACTTCGACATACAAAGAACCAAGGCCTTCTTCCAACATAATGAAAGAAGAGTAGAAGCCAAAAGGGATAGTAGTAACCTCGAAGCCCGAAGAAGTCTAATAAAGTCCTCGAGTCGATAGAGAACCCTATCAAAATAGTGCATGTATATGACATGGTCAGGTATGATGACACTGACCATATCGACGAACCAAAATAAAACATTCAAACTATAGATGGAGAGAGAAGAAGTCACTAAACAAGATTCAACGGGATATCAATCGTTTAATTGAGAGAGTTATGACTAAGGAGGATCTCAATAGCTCTCAATCAAACTGGCTAAGTTATGTTGAAGGGGCTCTTGAAGCTTCAAAGTCCTATTTAGCTATGAAAATACTACTTATTTTAATCTCAATCTTGATTGGACTTAAATTAGGATAGTCCTTACTCAAATAGGAGTAGCTAGAAGTGCAACAGCCCTATAAGGAAAGTCTTTAAACCTTAAGGATTAAAGAGAACCAAAAGAAGTCCCTAGCAAAGCCCAGTCGACCCTAGTTTTTCTAGTCTTATAAGAGAGGAGAGAGGAGAAAAGAGAGAGGGAGGGTTTTGCACAACTACAACCCC